TATAGCTGCCATGAAAACTGTTCTTTTACCAGCTGATAAATTTAAGCAATCTGCCATTGCTGAATTTTTTCACTTTTGAATGGACTGCGTGGAAGAGCCAGTGTAATTACTCTGTTTTTATCAGGTTGGATAATTTTTGGTTTCGTAGCAGATTTATGTGGGTTTTCAAAATCTTCATCTTCAGAATTGTCTGAACTGCTTGTAACTGTGACACTAGAGTCATCTGCAGATTGCAAGTCTACTTCAGGACGTATAGTTTCAGGTTTTGTGCTTGTTGTTGCTGAAAGATTTTGTCTTCTTTTTTCTTCAACCATTCTTCTTGCTATTTCAATTCTCTCTCTCTCTGTATTTTCTGTAGAATTTTCCTTTTGTATGCTCGATCTTCTGATCCCAAAATAACTCACTTCTGATCTTTAATTGCCATAAGAAATTCAATATCTTCTTTTTTCTGCTCACTATCACGAAGTCGATCAGTTTTTATTTTGTTTTGAGCATCTTGGTGAGCAATATAAAAATAATTTTTCAGATCATCAACAAACAGTTTTTATTTAGCTTCATTAGATGGACATCCTTTCTTCTTTTGAAGTGTTCTATAAGCATCATACAAATCCAAAATTTTTGCTTTAACCTTGTCTTTGCGTTGAACTGCAATTCCAGCTTTATCCCATTGATTTTAAATTTCTGCAATAACAGTGTTTACTATATCACCATTGCACCCTTTGATGGAATTTTTGATAGTAACAATTGAGTTAATGGTTTTCCTAATAACCAGATATCAATGTCTTAAATTTACATTAAAAAAATTTAATTATTTTTAGTAAATTTATTAATTTTTTGGGAGCAGGTGGCAAGCCTAAAACATTATTAAATTGCTTGAAATTTTTTTACTTATTGTAAAATAGATAAAGGAATGGGAAAGTCAACAGGGAGCAAAATTTTGAGAAAAAAAAATTTCACTATACATTTCTAGAACACCCTAGTAATCACCCACTTGTAAGTTACTTTAGGTATGTATGTGTTCAGTTGAAATGTTTGAATGTCATGTTTAAATGTTTAAATCTGTTTTGATGCAGTGTGAGCTCATTAACTAACTAGACATTACAACTATAAAACCTACACTCACCATTATCTTTTAACTACTCCAGGTCAGGTCAGGTTTAGGATCATCACAATCACCCTGCTACCGGTATTATGTAACCCAGTACTACCTGCCCCATGCCCTGCTGCCTTGTAGAGTGTGCTTTTTTAGGCAAAAGCTAGGAGAAACAAACACTGATTTATAAATGCCTTGCCTTGAGGCTCTTAGTTGAGTAAAGACTAGAGATAATGTGTCTTGATAGAAAAATTCATCTTGGGCAGATGTTAACTGCAACTAGATACTGTCTTGTGGGAAGTTTTCTAGGCAAAGACTTTGAGGTAAGCAGAATCATTCTGTTGACCAGCCACAAACCCCTTCTTCATCTATTAGGCTGGCATAGATGTAAACCTGTGTTACAAAGTTTCCTGCTTAGGATAATGAATGCTGGATCTTCTTGATTCTTCTCATAGGTTTTTGCTTGTGCCTCCTTGATAGTGGTTGCAACTCTTCCTGTTATCTCATAATGAGAGTACAGCTCTAAAACTAAGTTTAATGGTTCTGCCGACTGATAGTAGGTTTCCTAAACTCTGTGGTAATTCTCAGGAGTATCCCAAAATATTAAATTTAAAAACCATCCTCTTGCTCTTACTGAGACTAATTTAAAATCGGCTATTCCTTCTTCTGATCTCAGTGTTGATGGATACTATCCTTTGATTTGCAAAGACTCCAATAGCCACATGCTTTGCTTGGGGTGTACATACGTATAAATTCACCTATTTGTCGTGAAATCAGGTTCGAATCCTTTAACCACACTATCTTCACAATTAAACTCTTCTACAGCTTGTGAAGATAACATAGTCTTACAAAGTTGTTCTCCAGAACTCTCATCAATTCTCTAAATTATTTAGTAAGTACTTGACTGAGTTTTGTTTTTTTGCCTGCAGGCAAATGACGTCTGTTGTTTCAATTTTCAAAAACTTAAAAGAACATTCTTACCCTCTAATTATCGCTTGATCAGTCTTCTTTCTGTTATTAGCAAGGCCTTTGACTCTTTGATAAACAAATTTCTCACATCCCATCTTGATTCAAATAACTTACTGTCAGATAATCAATACAGTTTCAATCCTCTTGCTAACTGCTGTGACTAAAAGATTTTACTGTACACTAAAAAGAGGCAGAGATGCTAGGGCTATTGCTCTTAAAATATCTAAGGCTTTAAACAAATTTTGACATGCTGGTCTTCTCCATAAGCTTGTTTCATATGGTATATCTAGGAAAGTTTTTTAGATAATCAAATCATTTCTTTCTAACCGCTTTATAAAAGTCATCCTTGAAGGCCAACACTCTTTTTTATTTTCAGTAACTTCTGGGGTACCTCAAGGTTCTATCCATGGTCCTTTTTTCTTAATCTTTTTTTCAATTTTTTTTTTTTTTTTCATGGTCTTTTTTTCTTTGATCTTCCTGACAAACTTATATCTAAAATAGCTTTTTTTGCTGATGACTTAACTTTATACTCCTGTTAAAAACCTTTTCTTTTCGATTGCTTAAAACAGGCAGCTGATCTTAAATCTAATCTCACTTCTGTAACAGAAGCGAGATTAGATTTAAGATCACTTTTTACTTTATTTTAAGATCACAATTTAGGGTAAAGGAAGGTATGTTCGTGATAAATTAACTAGATGTGTAATTACAAAGTAAATTTCAGTAGTTTTACTTAATTACTTTAATTGTTTGATGTACATAGAGTAAAGTTACTAGAATCTATGCAGTTTTGGGATTTTAAGTCCTTTGATAAGTTTTTATAAAAGCTCAAAAGTCATTGAGAAAAGTTAGGTAATTTTGTGATATGATATTTAATTTCGTGATAGTGGTTAGGTAATTTCGTGAGTGCACAATAATATTTAAATTTTTCTTTATTAATTAAGTATAACATCTGGTATAATATAACAAAAAATATCAACACTTGTTTTGAATTCATAACTATTCAATCAGACTTTAAGTTCATAAAATATAAATATAGTCAGGCTTATAAGTTAACAAAATTATAATAATACTTTCATTACTTTATATTTATATATAAAAAAAATATACTTTTAACATAGGTAGCTTAGAAAATAAAATAACAGACCTACAAAAAACTCTTAATATAATAACTATAATATTAACCATACTTATATCTGATTAACTTATTTTTCTAAATCACATTCTTGTTGACAACATGTATCACACATAAATACTTCACCAATGTCCTCATATGTTTGACAACTCTCATGATAAGGTACTAAACAATAGGAACACTGCACCCATTTTTTTCCATTTTTTTTTTTTTACATCACTTTTGTAACTTTTTTTACAAACACCACACTCCCAATCATCATCTTTTGAAGCATTTTTATTTTTTTTACTTTTTTTAGAACATACAGGAATAGAATCCTTTGAAGTTGATGGAATAGGTTGTTTCTACAGTAATGTAATTTTGTGATAGTAAGTAATTTCGTGATAGTAGGTAATTTCGTGATAGGCTTTACTGCAAAAATATTTGCAGATTCGTATAGAGAAAGATATTATCTTCATTTAACTATATAGTTATATCGTGCTTAAAACAATTTTTAATGTCATTATATTTAATAAAAGAAACATGATTAAAAATGTAAATTCATTTGAGGTGAAAACGTTAAGAAAATGTGTAACTGCGATAAGGAATCATAAGTTATAGGAAGTTAATAAAAAAACAAAAGTTTTACCATTAAATCAAGCATGTTTTTTAGTTTAATATTTAATAAAAATAATTTACTTACCTTAAAACACAAGTCTGGAAATAAAAATGTTGGACAAGTACTCCAAACAAATGTGCTGAACGCACGTAAAATAATGCTAAAGAATGTACAAACTGATAGTAAACAATTGACGTATCACACGCACCCAACGACTATTTGTGAATCGACAGTAGTACCCCGGGTACCATTTGACGCAATTTCGATGTTTTTGACTAATAGGTATGTTCGCTACAAATGCCGAAAGAAATATCACGAAATTACATATATCACGAACATACCTTCCTTTACCCTACTTGATTTTATCATTTTTAAACACAATCATAGATGAGTATTTGACTTTATGAAAATCCCGGAAATTTTTTTCTGATAATCCCGGTAAATTATTTTATTAAAAATTGATCGCATTTAACTGACAAATGGAATTTAGATTATTTTAAAATGGAATTTAGATTATTTAACTTTTTACAAAAAGGAATTTCTAAATATATATATAAATACATACACATGATTATGACATATATATAATATATATATATATATATATATATATATATATATATATATATATATATATATATATATATATATATATATATATACATATACATGATTATGACAAAACATATTCATATACAGAGTTATCACAAAAAGGATAATTGTATTATGAATAAATGAGCACTTAAATCACATTTATTTTGTTCAATTCATAAAAAAGTTCTCACACAAGCACCTGACAAATGGTGGAAGCCATATATAAAATTTAAAAATTTAAAAGCTTTTATATAAAAATCACTTTTATCAAATTTATTGTAAAAAAAACTAACATTTTTAAACAAAATTTGAAACAAGGCACTTTTAAAAATGTTTTTTAAGTATATCTTTCTTAAGTAAGTTAAATCTAAAAAATCTCTATAAAATTTCACTTGTTTTGAGGCAAGATATACTTTAAATAAAATATTTTTGATAAAATATGACACCTACCATGTTGTCAGGTGTTTTGGTGCTAAAACTTTTTTAAAAAACTAGCTCTAAAAATAATTTATGAATAATCAGGTTACTCACATTGTATTATATATATTGTATTTAATATAAGTATATAATAAAATATAGTTTATGTAACAATATTTAAAAAGAAATAAATGTACATTGTAAAACTTTTCTGCAGCAGCTTTAGATTCATTTTCAAGTTTTACTAATCTAAAAAAAAAATTTTATGAAAGACTCCAAAAATTGAAACAAATGTACATATGTGTTAATTTATATATATATATATATATATATATATATATATATATATATATATATATATATATATATATATATATATATATATATATCAATGTTCGAATTAACGCAAAAAAATCTAATCGCAAAATTTACCCCTTCCATCCCCCCTCCCTCATCTCAGACACAGCTTTGCGGTATTGTTATTTTTTTTTAAATAACATTTCTCATATTTAAATAATATTATTTTATAATATTTTTGTTTAGTGGGGTTAAAAATAGCCTAAGTTGCTGTTATAATTTACAGCTTAAGTTATAATTTAAAATTTAAGTTACACTTATAGTGTAGTAAGCAAATAATAATGTAATGAGCAAATAAAACATTTAATACTATTTTGATATTTCTTTTAGTAATTGTTTTTACTTAACATGATACTTAAAAAAGTAAAAGGAAAAAAGTATTACATGTGTTATTTTTAAAGAGTATTGAATTTTTATTGTAAAAAGCTATAAAACAACAGTAAAACAAACTGCAGTTGTTTTTGTGCAAATATTAAGTTTAAAGTCTTTAAACTTCATATTTGCACAAAAACTAGTGTTGTTAAAACATCAGTGTTGTTATCGACTTTTACTAATTTGACTAAAAGTCAACTAAATCGACTAATTGAAAGTCAAAATTAGTCGACTATGAAAAATCTAAAATTCTTATCTTTATCTCTTTGTTTGATTTAACTTTGCCAATATTTAATTTTATTATGATGTTGACCAATTAGTAAAGATATATCCTTATAAGTAGATTATTTTATAAAGATAAAATATATGTAAAGATTGAGCCATGCGCAAGATCGTTATTCATAGCTGGTTTTTTAATTCAACCAAAATATCTGAACATTGAACCTAATTTGCTGTTTCACATAAACTCAGCTCTAAGCTTACTGTATGCTGTACCACTACATTAATGTTTATTTTTTCTTGTTATGACTCGTTATAAAAAGTTAACTCTTTAAAAAAATATTTCTCTTTTAAAAAATATTAAAACTCTTTTAAAAAATATTTAAAAAATATAATGTGTCATCAGTTAAGGATGCCAAAAAGATACAAAGTTTTATAATTCTGAAATCCACAAAAAAGTTTGGCCCTACCAGCCTCTACCTTGATTCGCCACAAAAATTACGCCTTAAAAATTTTTTGCTTTAATTGTTTTGATAAATGATACAGAGAGAATCTTTTTTTTTAAATTCTCTCTGTTTTAATTCATTTAATATTCAATAAGTCAATAAATTCAATCAAATTCTATTTATTGATTGATACATATAATAATAGTTCCCAATGGATATTTTAAACAATTGGTTTAACTTCCATTAGAAGTTAATAACGATTAGAATAATTCTAATAATAATAATGATAGGTACTCATGCAAATCCTTTAGGACATTATTTCTACATGAAGGAAATCTGAACACACTTAAAAGCTGTGACTTCTTTGACTTAATTAATAGCTATTTTATTCTTATTCTCATTTTATGGTAGAAATAAAATGTCAAAACAAAACATTCATTAAATTAAAGTCTGGAATTATATTGTGAAAAACAATGACTCTACAATAACAACGTGTAAATATATACTTTAACAAACGAAATTTGCAACAAAGAGCTAAAATGCAATAAAAATACAAGCTCAATGGCAAATCATTTGTATAGTAACCATCAGATTAAAATTGAAGAGTCTAAACTTCCAAGTACAACAACTGGTCATGTATCTATAAAAGCTGCATTTTCAAACTCTCACTCATATTGGTCAACTTCGCAGAAATATAGAGATTTAGAGGAATCTATGTGTAACTTTGTTCTTCAAACAGGTCAACCACTGTTAATTGTTGATAATAGGTATTTTATTATAATGCTAGCTTCATTTGATAACAAGTACAAATTATCGATAAGACAAAATTTTTCGTATGAAATAGTGCCACTTAAATTTAAATCATGTAAAGTAAAAATAATGCATCTTTTAAACCAAGCTAAAATTTGCCATCTAATCACAGATAGATGGACATCACAAGCCTCGCATTCATACACCAGTGCAACAGTATATTTTATTGATCAAAATTTTTGTTTGAAATTGATTCGAATTGCATTAAAACATAGCCCAAAAGCCCATACTAGCCTATATTTAAAGGAGCAAATTGAGTTAATTCTAAATGAATGGAAAATAAGTGATAAAACACTTTTAACAAGTAGTGACACTGCGGCAAATATCAAACATTGTCTAGAAGATCTAATTAATAAATTGTACATACCTTATTTTTTGTCATATATTAAATTTAATTGTTAAAGATGTTCTTGTAAAAGAGAATGAGCTATCAACTGACAAAAATCATTGTTTCATAATTTTAAAGAAATTTAGGAAACTCATTGGCTTATTCAAACATAGTAATAAGCTTTCTGCTTGTAAATTGTGTTGAGTTAAATAATATGAAAATTGACAATCAAGAAAATAAATGTTCTATTAACAAATTAAAACAAAACATTGCTACTTGGTGGAATTCGACCTTTTTTAATGTTGTAGTCAGTTTTTAAATTTAGAGAATCAATCAAAGACTTTATTATCAAGCCAGAGAACAAAGTTAATAAGGATTTTATTATTAAAAAGCTGGGAACTAGAAATCATTGGCTAGCTAATTGATTTATTAAAGCTAATCATGATTTTACAAGAATTATGAGCAGATCAAAATATACCATATGTTCAATTATATTACCAGTCGTTTATAAATTAACTTATTACTTTGCTAACTTTAAAAGTGAATCAAATAATTGTACAATTATGAATCTTGCCATCAAATTCAAAGATAATTTTAATTGAAGATGTGAGGATTTTCTTATAATTGAAAAGTTGTACGCAGCTACATATTTAGATCCGCAATTTTGTAATTTTAAACTTATATTGAACAAAACAGCAAAAATTTCTTGTATTAAAAAGCTCATTCTTTAGTTGTTCAATTTAGCCATGAATTGCAGCTAACACCAAAAAGCCTTCAGCTGTCTAGCGAAGAGTCGTCATCTAGTCAAAGAAGTTCATTAAAAAAAAGAAAAATATTGTTATGCGATGAAACAGTGTCATCAGAAGATTTTTTATCAGTAGACAACAAAATCATCAATTATTTAAATATGAATATAAAAGTATCGCAAAACTCATGTCTCCTTGCATTTTATAAAAAAAATTTATATCAATTTACCGTTTTGTCAAAGATAGCAAAGATGCTCTTTTGTATAACTGCTTCATCGTCGCCTTCTGAAGAGTTATTTTCAAGTGTTGCCGAATACATTACAAAACAGCGAAATAGACTTAAACCAGATTTGGCTAAACAATGTGTCTTGTTAAACCAAGATATAAAAGGTCATCTAATTTTTTTCTATTGTAATTTCTGTTTTGTTTGTTTATTCTCGATTTAAATTAATCTAATAGAAGAGTACCACTTAATTTTTTGTTTAGTCTCTTAAAGTTTTATTTATTTCATGTAAGAAGTAAATTGCCGAGCAACATTTAAATATTATAATTTTAAAAAATTCAAATATTTTGACTAAATCGACTTTTAGTTGACTTAGTTGATTTCCACAAAAAATTAGTCAAATTTAGTCATCTTTGAAATGTACCTTAATCAATTTAGTTGACAGTCGAGTTATTTCAAAGTCGTAACAACACTAACAAAAACATGCCTCTAGACCATACGAGTCTATAATCTCTAGACCAAATGAGTAAGATCAAAGCAAAACAACATTAGATACCACATTTTATATAATTTGTTTCTTGATCTGATGTACTATTAAAAATTTAAGTATAATTTATTTTTTCATTTAAATAGTTGTGCAACAAAAAGTGAAAGAAAAAAAAATTTGGTTCAATAAATCAAATTATATTTCCTTAAATTTATATATGTTTGTAAGTATATGCTTAAATTATTTTTTTTGAGAAAAAAATTTCTTTGGAACAGAAGTAAAATAATTTATTTTTTTTAATTTAAACTTTTTATAATTTAAATTTTGGTTTAACATTTCCAATAATCACTGGTTTAATGTTTGCAATATAATGTTTCTACTTTTAAAACTATACCAATGAGTACTATGGATGCTGCTGCAATTATATTTATAACTATTAAGCGTTTTTTTTTTTTTTTGTTTTTTTTTCATTCGCAAAATTATTTGAATAAGAAAATTTTAGAAGACTTATAGAAGACTTTAGAAGACTTATTTAGAATTCTTTTGTTTAAATAGATTTTTTTTTTTTTTTAAATCCTAAAAACAACTTGCGTATTTATAAAAAACATTTATTTTTGATATAACTTTATATATTAAAAAAAAGGTATTGCGTTTTTCATATTCTATTTGAGATAACTTGTTAAAATAATTTTTAGGTAAAAGCTAATTTTGTGTTAACAACACATAAGGTATAAATAAAAATATTTGTATGACAAACTTTTGCTCCTCTGAGTATATTAAGTAAATTTTGTTGAGTAACTGTAAATAACTGTAATAACTTAACCGGTTGTTTTGATTTTTTTTTTTGAAAAACATCTTTGCTTCCAACAAGACTGCAAGCAACCACTTACTTGCAGTCTTGTTGCAATTAGAGTTGGAAGTTACTGAAAGAGAAAAGATGAAGATTGTAGAGCAAGATAACGATTGACAGACAACTTAAAGGATTGAAAATTATATGAATCAGGAAAGCAAGATGAAGGAAGTGATTTCTAAAGAACTGATGTTTGAGGATTTAATTTTTATGAAATTTTACTGTGATACACTTTATCCATTTAGTAAACCCAGGGCCTTTGAGAGAGGGTAAACTGACCCGGGGGCCTGGCTTAAATTCTATTGTTATGATAAATTATAAACTACAAAAAAAAAAAAGGATTTAATTGCAGTTGAGTTAGGCAGAACTGGGCAAATTCTGTAAGACAATGAACAGTTATGTCATCTAGCC